ACCCACACTCTCCTCAGAGCCTGGGGGCATGGCCTGGTTTTGTGGCAAAAAGCAGCTATACACTTAGGTATAGCATTTCTTGCCAAAAACAAGCTTGCTGGAGCTGACACCCACTTTGAATTCCTGGTTAAAATGGAAAGGAACATCACAATCTTGAGGCAGGATTGAAAATTCAACTGTTTTGAGAGTGTATTTGTGCACATCATGAAAAAGCCACTACTGCTCACATCCTGACTTGGGTGACATCAGCTTTGAGAAGCCCATTGATGGAGAGCAAGAGAAGCTTCACAGAGGAGAATCATCCAGCCTTTGGGATTTTTTACACTTTCTTGGTAATTGCAGAAAACTTGAAGCAGTGTAGCTATGTTCTGCCTTTGAGAGGCTGTGCTAAAGGGCTGCTTCATGCAACTGGATTATCTCAGAGGACAGATTGGCTGCTTCTGGACTGACTGGTTTCAGTACCCCTGGCACTGCAGGCTTCAGGAGCAGCAGAGCATCAGTGAGCACCACCAGGAATTAATATCAAAAGGTTAACAACTGCATTTCCCAAGGCAGGCTTAAGCTCACTGAGACCAATGAAGACAACCAGGTCTCTCCCAAGCCTGGCCCTTGAGGAGGTGTCAGCAGATCCAGGACACTCTCAGGAGCCAGGATTCACCTGTGGGTCAGGGGCAGCCGTTCATGGAAACTCTTCATGCACCTTCAACCACTTTCACACGTGAGGATTTAATTCTTTTGCCTCCTTTGGAACATACTACAAACTCAAATCCTTCTTAACCTAGCAGGCTGATGAGCAGGGCTGCTTAGCAGAGGCAAACTACCACAATTCTGCAGTAGATGGAAATGAGAATGAGCGTTCACTAGGGCTTTAAGAAAATGAAATATTGTTTCTTCATCTTCCTTCCTTCCCTTTAGCTGAGGCAAAAGAACTAAACCTCCTCCCCTCAAGCAACATTAGAGGTGTGATTATAATTATTATTTTAATAGCAGTGTCAATTTAAGCAGCTTTTCATCCTCCCTGCTCCCTATCCCAATTCATTTTGTTTTGCTGTTACAGCAAATGGGATCCAGATATAAAAAAACAATTTATTTTCCCATAAATTCTGGATGACACCTTCCACCTGATCCCATTGACACCACTGAGGAACAGAGGCAAGAAACAGAGGCTGTATCTCCACAGAAATCAAAGGAATAAAAGAAGGGAGGGAAGTATCTCAGGAGGGACTCCCAGATGTCATTTCACACATTCTCCAGCAAAACCTGAAAGGTCATTTGTGGCATTTTCAGAGAGATGAGGGACGTTGTGCTCACTTTTTCCTCACAGCCCCTACGTACAGACTACACCTCATTAGTTCTCAAGTCTTGATCACACTTAAGGATAGTCCCACACCAGGTAGGAGCCTGATTTTCTGATAGCTCTAAACCAAAAAAATAACACTGAGGAGAAAAAGCAGATTCAGCCAAGTGAGCACACCAGCTCAGCTGAGCGTGCCAGTTTTTAAAAGGCATCAAATTGAGACCCTGCTCTCCTTAATTAAAAGCTTTGCCTTGCCTTGCCAAGGGAGAAATCTGACATGAGCATTTGACAATACCCTGCACCAGGAATAACTCTGCACACAACAGAGGTACCAGGCGACAGCAGTGAGCTACTGTAACACATCCCAAGCAGATATTTCCTCCTGGCAGCTGAGGCCAAGGTTGGATTCCCATCCCCAGCAACAAAACAGCCTCTGCTTTCTCCTTTCCCCCCACCTCCACTCCTTCCCACATGCTGGCTGCAGGGCTGTGTTGGTACAGATGTTCCGTAGCCAGCGGTGATCCCGGGGCTGCTCTGATCAGGCTGGAAGATAACACAGCAGGGGAGGGGGGAAGAAATGCCTGATGTGTGTCAGCAGGAGGCCATGCAGACAGCTGTGCTGGCACAACACGGCGAGCAGGAGCTCACCCCACCACGGATCAGCTCTCCTCTCCTGGGGGCCAGCTTGCTGACACCAGGCTGAGCACAGGAAGGCCACCCTTCCTCGCCTCCACGCTGCCTTGCCCCCCTCTGACTGCAGCACACGAGCCAAGGACACTGAGCCTGCCAAGATAACCCTGCCAAGAAGTCCTTTTTGTCTGTTCAGTGTCCGTGGTGGACTCGCCGTGGGGTTGGCTAGCACCCATGCCTGCACAGAGCCTCTGGGTCAGCTGCCTCCAGGTACCATCACCGTGGAACCACCACGACACACGCCACGCTGCCCTCCTTGTGCAGGGGCAGCAGCTCAGCCTGCACTCAGGGACTCCTGGGAGGCTGCCTGTTGGCTGATGAGTCTTCTGCCTCCTTTCCAATGTTTACAAGCAGCTCCTGTCTAGCCAGGCTAACAGAAAAATCTCGTTTGGGTTCAGGTGTAGCTTTGTCACTGGCAGACACCACAGCGTGCCAATCCTCACGTCTTCCAAGCTCATCTCCTCGAGCTAAACAGCAAGGATGGAGCAACCTACCAAGGCAGAAAATCCATGCATCCCCCTGGCACCACGAAAACTGAGATGCAGCCACAACACTAATCTCCGCACTAATCTCCCAACACAAAGATTTCATGTATTTGAGAACATACTGCTAATCCATTCCTCAAAAGTGAACACAAACAGATCACACAACCACCAGCAGAAGACTGAACGTATAGATGCCACCCCATACACAGACCACAGGCTTCAGCTTGGCACAAAGTTAAGCACAGACCACGTTGTTAAGCAGAGCTAGAATTTCAAGACATACTTTGGAGACAAAATGTGCCTCATACACAACCTGAGCTTCATCATTTTGTCAAAAGAAAGTACATTTTAACCCTCCTGGCTGTGATGACAGCCATGGAAACACCAATCCTTAGATCTGCTCGAGTCCATACTGCTGGAAACACTGACTCACATGTGAATTCCCACTAGCCATTAATCTCAGAGAATAAGCACTTAATGCAGCAATAATGGTGGGTTTAATGTCCTGGCAAAACAGGGAAAAAGGGTTAGCAGAATTTGGGAGTGACTGTCAGGAAATGAAGATAAAGGCAACGCTTGGAGGACAGCAAGAACAAGGAAGGGAGAGGAAAAAAAAGAAGTTGTAATTTATGGAGCACAGCTCTCCAAGCCAAACAGGAGTCAAACTGACTACAGCCCCAGTGCTCACAAGAAAACTGCCCAGGTTAGGCAGTTGACCAAAAATACCTAGTTTTTTTCTCAAGAAGGGTATTCTCTGGGCAAAAAGGGAAGCGTTTTATTTCTACCACCTCCAACTTGATTAAGTTACTATTCTGGGTTTTTCTCCAACAAAAATTCTGTAGCTACATGAATGTAGAGATTTTTATCTCATCCAAAACCAATTAACAAGTAATGCAGAATTCAGGCTTACAGTTAATAAATTTTTGCTCCATTTCCCAAATATAAAATTCATAAGGTGACTTAACACCTAAACCCCAACCACTTAAACTACTTAAGACACCTTTTGAAAGCTTTACTCTATTTTTATCTCCTGTATCTCATTGAAGTGGCAGGGCATTTACAAATACCTATTTTTAAATATGGTATAAATGGTCCAAATGAGAACGTTCTCAAACTCAGTAATTGTGTCCAAGATTAAAGCAAAATGAGTCAGAACATGTCACTTGACATTACAGTAACAGCAAGAGCCCAACTGTTGCTCAATCTGGCAGGAATAGATGTCTTTCAGGAATCTTAATTTTCAGTGTTTTGGAATAATGAATGCAAGCAACTAGCACACATATGCAGACACCTAGCAGGACAAGGACAACTATTTTACTATCCCATTTCTGCTTAACATGGTTTTAAGTTAAGAATGTTAACTTTCTTTTTAATTTTTAATTTTTTTATGAATTGTTTTTCCAGTGCTGAGTTCCTTTGTTCAAGCTTATGCTGCATAAATAAATACATTATGGGTATTACCTCTGCTATTCACATGATTTCCAGGTTAATACTAACACACCAAAGGGAAATATTTAACATCTAAATATGCACTAAGTGTTGCAGATGCAAGACAAATGAAATTTCCATCCAGAGGGAAACAACCTTGCAATAGTCTTATTCCCACTGTAGTTCTTAAGGTGTGTGAGCCACTCTGCAGAGGCAGCTTCACAGTTTATGAAATGCCTAACACAGTTGGACTTTCCAAATTTAAACCAGGGAAGTCCTCCCACGCCTGCAGGGTGTTTCTGCAGATGGCCCTGTAAAACCTGAAGCCTACTGTAGATGTGTCCAAGGACATTGATCATCAGGGAATACTTCCAGGGGCTAAGATAAAAGTTGCATAATTAAAATTAAGCACAGATGGAGCAAAAAGAGGTTTGGTTGAGAGGAGGAGACAGAGAGAATGGATTGCACCTTAAAAAAAGAAAAAGTAGGTAAGCAAACTGTGCTTAGAGAGCAACTGACAGTAAAACTTCACAGACAACCAACCATGGCTATTGAAGGTTTAAATTGAGGAGATTCTATTCTGCTGTTTAAAAATCAGTCTTTTCAAAAGGCAAGAACTGTGGAAGATCCTAAATGACAATGTTAACTTCTGGGGGGTGAACAAACAGGAGTGATGGAAGTGAAATAATCATCTCTAAGTAAGAATATCTCCAACACAGTATGCCAGACTGGTTTTCTTGTGCAGACTGCAGTAATCCTTTACATTTGCAATGTTTCATACAGATTCACTCATCTGCACCATTCAGTTAAAAGAAAAATAATGAGTTGAGGGATAGTGGTCACCAACAAAGGCAGGTGAGAGCAGGTGAGACTGAGCTTATGCCTCTGGAGAGTGATAAAACGTTTACACAAGTGAAGCATTGGCCCTGTGCAAGAGGCAGAACTGCTAATTAGTGCCTACATGCAGAGAAACACAGAGGAAAGCTCTGACATGGGCAAACAGCCACTTTTGCTTGTTTAAGCTGGCAAGTCAGGCGATGAACTGCCACGCTTTGCATCGTTCACACAAGGTGTAAAGGTACAAACAAGGAAGAACCCACCGGGACTCTCCACCCGCTTGTAGTGGTAGGGGTTGATGCACACTTCCTTCTGCTTGGAGCCAAAGGGGAACTCACAGCACTCCAGGGGCTTCAGCTCGTGGTGGCTCTGCAGGTCTGGCCAGCGCCACACGCGGCAGTAGATGACGTGGGGCAGCCCCTTCCTGTGGGACACCTGCAGCCTGCCGTCCAAGGAGCGAGGGATCGTGACGCAGTTGCTGGGCTGCCCGGGGCAGCTCAAGGCTTTTTCCAGCTCCTCCATAGCACCTTTTTTCTTCTTCAGTTTTTTTACTAAGGCATCGACAGCTTTCTCTGCCCATTTTTCTTCTTCGTCCCCCTGCTTCCATCCCAGCAGCCTCTTCACTGCTGGGCTGGTGAAGGAGAATAAACTCGTCACGTTCATGGTGACACCACAGAACCGACGGGGAGAGAACGTCCTGTTCTTCCACCACCCCCCAGGGAACAGCAGGTTGTCTCAGTAGTCAAAAGCAGCCTGGACCAAAGAATTCTGGCCCTTTCTCCTTTTCAGTCCTCCAGTCCCAGGAAGGCAGTGCTGACATCCCCCCTTGTCAGATGCGGCCTCCTCATTATTCTAAACACTTCCAGCCAAGAACCTGCAGAAGAATATCACAGGGAGAAAGAGGAAAAAAAAATAAATTTAAAAAAAAAAAGGATTTTACCTTTTAAATTACCATAGAGCAATTAAGAACATACCCCACAACCCACAAGAGTGGCGTGTCCAACAACCAACCAACAACAAAAAGAACCCCCAACAGCAACAACGTGTTGACAGCCTCCAGAAGTGGACTGAAGGTCTGTATCTGATGAAGACTTTCAAGCAGCAGGACCTGCTGCTGATCTCCCCAAAACAGCCCTGAATAATGAGGTGATCACCCTGGAAAATAAAGGCATGGCATAAACAAAACCAACAAGGGTTGGGGAAGGGGGGTTAGTGGGAGGAGAAGGGGAAGAGTGGGGTGTAGAGATAGGGGGGTGGGACAACTCTGCATCAGCTCAGCCCCCTTATCCAGTTTGCTGTGTGGCCTCAATGATTTTTTGCCAGCTTTAAACAGTATTTCTGCCTGGTGCCCATGCACAGCTGTGAAGGGTGCTCCCCTCTGTGCATCAGCTGTTGCAACCTCAACCAGCAAAGCATCCCAAGGAACCAATGCAGCATCACTTTTATTGATGTATTTATTTTAGAGAGCACCTGGAAGCAATATGCTCCGACAGCACTGTGCCACCCAGCCCTCTCCAAACAGCTAGTGATCAAAAATCACAGCACTAGACTCCTGCATACCACCAGGTGAAACAAAAACAATTCAGCTTCACCCCCCGCCCCAGACTTTGAGGAACAAACCAAAAAAGAAGAAAGGAAACTAGAAAGAACTTTGCCCTGACTTATATGAGAAAGAAAACTCCCATCTCCCCACGAAAAAGCCCTCAGAGCTTGTAGACTTTGAAGGAAAGATATTATAAACTTACTTCACCAATTACATCCTGAGCCCTCCCATTGCAACACCTGATGTGCTCGAGAACACATGAAGGAATGAGGAGGAGGAAGTCCTGATAAGAGGATTTTAGACAGCACAGTAGCCCTCAAGTTGGGAAACAATAAAAGGGGATGAAACAGTGGGTGAAGAGGTGGAGAAACATTGCACATGAAGAAGGCCCTGCTGTGAGCAGCAAGTTTCCTACTTGCCCAGGCTGGGAGCAGGCAAAAGACTCTGCTGGGGGAAGAAAGAGAGCCCCTGCACTGGGGACAAAAAAAGGAGACAAAGAACACTCTACCACTGGTTTTCAGACAGAGCATGAAGACAGACAGGAAACGTATCCTAGACGGGATACCAACAGGTTGTGGAGGAAGGGGAAGAGGATGTGAAGGTTTAGTTGGCATCAGAAAGACAGAAAAAAAACTCACAACCAACCAGCAACATAGACATACACAGAATAGAATGTGTCAGCACACCCACAGCAGAGAGAATCCCATCCCTACCCTAAAGAACCATTGCAGATACTAAATTTGTAATTGCTGTGCCACACTTGCCTTCCTGACTATCCTGCACTGCAATAGTTTCAGAGTGTGCCAATATACTTGGAGTACTGTAAGCTGAAAACCATCCACTTGATTCAAATTAATTTGTCACTAAAACAATTATCTAACTGCAAACGATTGGTTTTATTAGGCTGAATGCATAAACTACATTTAGGTGAATAATGATTACAGACTAAGACACAGACCACATCTACCTGCACTCTGTACTGGTACTTCCCATTCCTTTTATGCTGAGAATTGTATTTGAAATAATAATGTCAATGCAATGGAAGATTTGCATGAGCCTGGGGCAAATTTAAGAATGAATTTTGTTACCTGGGCATGTGCTATACTGTTAAATGAACTGAAACTCCATTACTGTCACTGACTGTACCCCAGGTATTCTTTATCCTTACACACACTATAAAGTGCTCTGTTAAAATGATGTGCTAATTTAAGAACCATATTACCAGAACCCAAACACATTCAAAGGTGTTTGTAAGAATTATTATCAACTCATATAGAATATTGGGTGAGATACAGGCTATAAGTCTTTTTTTCTATATCTTTCAAACAAGATACAAGTTCCACACACAAAAGTTACAAGTTCCAGTGGTGCATCACCAAAGAATCCAGTCAAGCTTTCTACTTCACATACATTCAAATTAAAAAATAAAACACACACACACAAAAAGTCTTGAGATTCTAATAAAAAAGAAAGTACAAAGTCTAAATCTCAATTCATCCTTCTTTCAGTATCAATAATGGATGCAGACATGGTTCTACCTAAGCCTCACTCATTTCCACCAAGCTATTTGCTCTGAAAAAGAAGAAAATCCCATCTATTAAGGCTGTATATTTATGCCAGTGCCTGAAAATACAACCCTAACATAAGCTGGTACCCAAGCTCTGCAAAGACTAAGCCAACATTCAGCTGCAGCCCCAAGCAGTCTGAAAGATCTGTTCATATAGTCAAAGTCTTTGGATCAAATCCCATGACAAGTCTCACTCCCAGGACCACACGCTCCAAAACATATTTCACCATCACAATCAAAAGGTATTATCTTAGCAGCTGTCATCTCTGTAGCAAGAAACAAGCTGGGAGCAGGAGTAGCAGCATTAGGTACAGTACTTGCAGATACACTTGGTAGCAACATAGCTCAGCAGAAGCTAGCTGGCCACCAGCCTCCTGCT